GCAATTTGATTTCAGTTTTATATATATTTCAGATGTTTTGATTATTTTTTTTTCTTAAAACAAGAATGATGATAGTAGGAAAAATTGAATTGGAATTACAAAATTGGAGAATTGGTTTAATTTATAAATGACTTTTTTTTTAAGTTATAAGATTATAATTAGTTTGATCTTGGGATATTAAATTTTTTATTTAAATTGTGTAGTTTTAGAAATCCACTTGAACATAGATGTATTTGAAAGGATTTGATTTGAGTTTGAATTGATGTTTATGTCCTAATTAGTTTAGTCGTTTTACATATTCTACTTATAAAAGACAATAAAGAAATTATTAGCATAAATGAATTTAATTTTTCAAATATTAAAAATGATTTATAAATTAATTAATTTTTTTTTCATGGGTAGTTCCAATCATGACTCATGAGCATTGTTTTTTAGATTAAATTAATTCAACTTAATCAAAATCAAATAAATTTATTTCAACAATTCCAAACCAAATCTTATATTTTGTGTTGCAGTAAAAGGTTTTGAGTTTCACTTCTCAAGTTGGTTGATTGGACCAGTGAAATTAAAAGAAAAAAGCATATGTGCATCAAGAATAAACTAGTATTCCTGTTTTTGTTTTCCTTTTTATAATTCATTACTCTCTATTATACAACAAGAGGTTATCTTTTATACTTTTCTAAATCCCTCATTTTCTAATAAAAAATGGGATTTGATCCAAGTCTTCAAATTTACTTTAAAACTATTAATTAAATCAACGAAGACCTTCAAGTAGTGAGCGTATCGTCCAATGACCATAAACGCCAAATTAGGTACTTTTATCATGCCAATCTTTTTTTTGATTCTTGAGGGCCATTCATTATATGAATTCATCAAAGTTCAAACAATGTCATTTCGCAATTGACCCATGCTCATTCCACAAACTGGATACACACAACAGTAATTGGGCTTGTGTGACATGTTTATTGGGCTTATGCGGCATGTTGATCCCACTTCTTGACAACTACACCGAAAAAATCAGGTCATATTTCAAGAGAAGATCGGGTAATCTTCATGGATAAGAGAAGATGCTGAATGTATAACTTGATAGCTTATTTGAAAATGAACTACACTAGTTTGGAAATTTCCTAAATGAAATTCGTGGAAACTGAATAAAAAAAAATGAAAAACTAACTTATGCGATTATTGTGTGATCAAAATACCAGGCAATGCATTCAGAAAATTAAAATAAAAAATAACAAATATTAGGCAATACTACAAAATGTCTTTTGGGTTCAATCATACCACTGTTCTCTGTATTTCAACAGACAACCGGGACTAGTTTCAATGGCAAACTTAAAATGAATCAATTATAAAAATGGATTTATTTTTATTTAACCAATTTGCAAGAACCCAAGTTTGATAGAAATATAATATAAAATTATTTATGTGCATTTATATAATAGTTTAATGTTTTGAAAGAGTTGTATCATGAGAAAGTCGGTCTTAAAATCGTGTTTCCACTGTTGACACTATCCACCAAAATGCCTAAAATAAAGACCCTAGGCCCCTTGGGCTTGAGACCACTTATTTATTTGTTGGAGTGCATAGCCTGAGAATGTTTTAATATTTATATTCCCCAACCTTTAAGGCATATTCAACATATTAAGAAGCTAATTCAACAAGTTTCGATCAAAGTAATCGAAAAACAATTATAGGGTTGGGCTCCCTTCTTTCGTAATAAAAAAGGCCCAGATTATGTGCAAGCCCATTTGTTATTCTCACTTGAAGTGTGTGTGGTGAATGAAGAGGCTCACGTAAAGAGGGAGCGTTTGGTAGAGGAGAGATTTTTTTTTATTCGGGAATCTCGATTTTCAGAAATATGATGAAAACATCAGTTTACGATAATATTCAAAAATTAAAAATTTAGAAAAATTTAGTTTCCCTGTAATCCTGAAAAAATACCAGTTACCAAACGCCCCCTAAGTGCTGAGAGAGGATAAAAACGGGAAAACGCAGCCCCTTGTGCTTTCTTCGTAAACATTAACGGGACGTTTGGTATAAGAGATATATTTTTTTACTTTGAAAAAAAGATGGTTGAGGATTTAGTAGGAATTTTTTTATCCCGAGTAAGTTACAAAAAAGTGTTTGGTTGGCCAAAATTTTGTCAGGAAAGTTGGGTTCATTTTACTGATGCTCTGTTTGGTTAATGATAAAATATGGATGAGATAATTATTTGACTCAACATATTATATTCAGAATCTAAGACGAGGAAAAAAAATACAAAAGAATCAGTGGGATAATTATTTGCTTTTGTGATGTTGAAAAGGGAAATGCCCCGGGAAATTATTTGCTGAGATTTTTTTCACAATACCCATACCAAACATGGTAATTAAATATTTCACACCCCACTTCTCCATCATTCCATACCAAACACCCCTAGTGTTCTGTTTTGTTTCGAGGACTTTTCATCCTAACCTTCTCTTCTTATTATTTGTAGAGTGAGGATATTATAACTACCAAAAATTCTCATTACTAACTTACTACTCATCACATCATCATTGGATAATGTTAAAAAACTTCGTAACTTAAGTATCAGGACTTTTATTGTTTTCCCAATATGAAACAGACAGTTTGTTTGATTCTTTTCTGATTTTTTTTTTTTGTTAAAACTGTTTTGTAAAACAATTAATGAAACAAAGATATATTCTTTAAATTTGATTTTTAAAAATAAAAAATAATTTTAATTTTAATTTTTTTTACAAAATAAAAACTTTATCAAACATTTTTTTTATTTTTTTATTCTAAAAACTGTTTTTCAAAATAGATTTAAAACGGCCCTATTAACTTTTATCTTTGATTTAGCTTTTTTGAATGATGGAGGTAAATACAAATAGAATGACATACTTGAACGGTACAAACAGTCTCCAGTGGAACGGAAGGTCAACGTGAATAATTTGCTGTTTGTTAAAAATATGCAAATGTAAACCAAAAAATAAATAATGTAAAAAATGTGTATCATTTTAAAGGATATAAAATTGTATCATTTTAAGTGAGAGAAAGAGATAGATAAAGAAAGAAAGGGAATGGACAAAAATATATAAAGGTGTTAGTCCCCCTCTTTGTGAGAGTGAAATGTCACAAATTATATCATTTAAAAGGAAAAACACTTTTTTCATAAATAAAAACTACGCATATAAACAGTATTTGGCTATTTGCCACTCAAAAACCACATTCAAAGAGCAGTGGGAGTTTGAACATCAATTTGTTATTTTATTCCGACAGTGGATAAAATAATGAGACAAATGCTAACATTTTATTGACAAAATTGAATTTTTGTATGAATTTAACTGCATACCCGATTCATTTTTTTTTTAAATATTTATATACTTTTTAAAGTTCTTTTGAAAAATTAAAAAAATCATCCAGAAACAAACTAATCTAAATAATTGCGAAATTTATTTATGGAACAGGTTATTCTACCCACTATTTTTTCTGCCTACCATTACCTGTCACTTTGAAATACCATTAGATCAGAATCTTAACTAACATTTATCTTTTTTTTTTTTTTTTTTTTTGAGATTTTGATCTAACGATATTGGATAGTGGTAGACAAAGGTAGGCAGAAAAAGTGGTAGGTAGAATAACCAATCCCTTTATTTACTAATCAAGTTAAGTGAGTTTTATGAAGTTCTCTATCAATTATTACGTTTGTTTTTCTGTAATTACTATAGATAAGTTATAAGCAGGAAGTCCAATACGACGTCATTTTGGAACATAAGTCATAGTGTTTTTGTAATTTTAATTTATTTTAGAGTTATTATAGTCTTTATAATTATAATTTTTTAATATTTCAATCTCAAAACGACGTCGTTTTGAAAATAAATGCAGATAATTTATTTGCAGTAACTGCAGATATATTTTTCTGTATTAAGAATGCTAATCAAGTTTTATTTAATAATAAGATATCAATTGTGCTGGTTGGCTCCCTCCGGTATCCCCACGAGCTTCGACTCTTTGAGCCGGCTATGAGACTAATCCGGAGTGCGGGGGAACAATGATGGCTAAAGGTTTAGCCCCCTCCCCAAGAATGCATTAAAATAAGCGATAAAATCATTAAGGTTGGGTAACTCCAAAAAAATAAATATCAATTGTGCATTAAAATAAACGATAAAATAATTTTGTAATACTTCTAAGCTTCAAGCCCAAAATTATTCTTTGGACGTGAGACGCCAACTTAGACAATCCAATTGACTGAGGATTTTGATCTAAATTTTAAACTTATAAAAAATACATTTTATAATTTAATTAAAATATTATCATATTATATATATATATATATATATATATATATATATATATATATATATATATTTATGGTATTATCTAGAGATGACAAAACGGGCTCGGCTCGGAGGGTCAACCCGCCCCACCCGCTATACGGGGCAGGCTGAGTTTTTCAACCCATCTGAAAAGCGGGGCGGAGCGGGCTCATTTTTTGACGGGTTGATGGGGGGCATAGACGGGCCGAGGTGAGTCAGTGTAAAATAAGCTCGGGCTGGCGGGCCAATCCGTCCAACCCGCCAAACGAGGCGGGGCCGACTGAGTTTTTCAGCCCACTTTCAAAAGCGGAATAGAGCAGGCTAACTCATTTTTTGACGAATTGATGGCGGAGCGGGACGGGGCGGGCTGCTCACTTTGCCATCTCTCTATTATCATTGCTGTTTCACAGAAGTTTTTTCTACTACTAAAGCATAAAAAGAATATTTTATCTCTCATTTCTCTATGGTGTCTCTCTTATTATTTTATGTCTCAGTGGTAGAAAAGAAATTTCTATCATTAAAAAGCAGAAATGATAATCCTATCATTTTATATATAATTGTTAAAATAAAAATACAACATGTACCAAAAAAAATAAAAAAATAAATAAAAATACAAGTAATTAAATAATCTGCTGTAAGGTAAGCAACACCAACACACTCCTAGACCGTACCAAATAAATTCGACGTTTAAGATTAGGTTGCTGTCCATTTCCCTTCACTCTCTTTCCCACACTCTCTTACCCTTTCTTTCTCTCTCCCCTTGCGGCTAGGGTTTTTAGCCCCCCCTTACCTCCCTACCCTTCTCTCTCTCTCTCTCTCTCTCTCTCTCCTGAGTTTCTTCTTTTGATCTGTGAATCCCTGTGTCTGTAATAGGACGATGAAGATGTTGTGGGTTTAGTCGTAAGGGTTGGTGGTGGCCTTGTCTTAGGGAAAGTGAGGGGTTGGCTTTTCGTGTTGGTGTGTTTGTGAAAGATGGCGACCATGAACCCATTTGATTTGTTGGGTGATGATGCTGAAGACCCTTCTCAGCTCATCGCCGCCGAACAGCTCAAGGCTGCTGCTGCTGCTGCTGTGGCTCCTAAGAAGGCTCCGGCGGCTCAGGAGCAGGGTAAGCCGAACAAGCTGGCTCAGCTTCCTTCCAAGCCGCCTCCTCCGTCTCAGGCTGGTCAGTTTCCCAATTTGTTGGTGTTACTGTTGAATCGGTTGTTTTGGTTTTGTGGGGTCTGATGATAGTTTTTGATTTATTTTTGTTTCTGGGGTTTTTGATTTAATGTTAATGGAATTTGTTTGATACTTTTTTTTTTTTATGAATGTGACCTTTCTGAGTTGTTTTATACTTTTATGTTTTGTTTGTTGATGAACCGTATCTAGTTATGTGTTCCTTTGAGGTTTTGTAGGTCATGTAATCCTGTTAGATTATTTGGTTAAATGGGTTTGTGAAACTGAAACGTGTCATTTGCTTTTTTTTTTTTTTAATTTAAATTTTATAATCAAATGTCTTTGAATTTATTATATGAATGATTATTAGTTATCTTGTTTGTTTTGTGTTTACATATGGGGTTTATCGTGGTTTCATTGTTGTCTACAGTTTGTCTGCCGCATGTATACGATGTCACTGTTTTATTTTAGTCTACAGTTTGTATTAAGTCAATTTTTTTTTTAGTTGGAGAAGTCTGTTTTATTTATTGAAAGAAATGATAATAAGTGATACTGTTAGCTATTGGATTTGTTGATGCATAATGCAATTGGATTTTCCTTCGAAAGGGTTGGAGGGCTGTAATTGGAAGTTGCAGTTCGAAACACATTCTGCCATAACTTATAAGTCTGTTCAAATGCATGCTTTGATAATCTGGCTACGACATCACCTGATTTAGAAGATTAATTTGTTCTCCGTGTGTGTATTCTTTTGTGAGTTAAGTAATGGGTTTATTTGTTCTTTGAAATCCTGATTTCTGAATGGTTATTAATGATCCTCTTCTTTTTGTGTGTTTCACATTTTCCTCTTCATATCTTATTGATAGTGAGGGAGGCCAGAAATGAAACATCTGGGTTTGGACGTGGAGGCCGAGGAGGAGGGCGCGGATTTGGACGTGGTCGTGGTTTTAGTCGTGACTCTTCCAATGATGAGAATTCTTTCCCTGCCCCTGGAGCCCCTGATAATCAGGGTCCTTTGGAAGGAGATGCTGGGAGGTCCTCGGAAAGACGTGGTTATGGTGGACCCCGAGGTCCTTACCGTGGTGGTCGTCGTGGAGGTTTCAGCAACGGCGAAGCTGGTGAAGAAGAAGGACGCCCACGAAGAACATTTGAACGCCGCAGTGGCACTGGAAGAGGGTGATGATTTAACCAACAAATAATTTGTTTCTTGAACTTCTGTTTCTATCAATATTGATGCCCCATGTTCTTTTTGCAGAAATGATTTCAAACGTGAAGGTGCTGGACGAGGGAACTGGGGAACTCAAACTGATGAAATTGCTCAGTAAGCACTCTTTTTAAAATCCTGTAGTTCTATAATTTTAATAATTATTACATGGTTTCAGTAGAAATTCTTTGTCTTTAACTATTGTTATTGTTTATATTTTCTTTCCTTCTGATTTATAATTTACTTAGGGTGACTGATGAAGTTGCGAATGAAACTGAAAAGAATTTGGGTGATGAGAAGCCTGTGGTTGAAGAAGATGTAGCTGATGGAAACAAGGAGAGTGCTGCTAATGAAACGGAAGAAAAAGAGCCCGAGGATAAGGTGAATGTTTGTCCTATTTAAAACTTTCTCCATTTACTCTAAATCGTTGCCGCATCCTCTAAATTGTGTGTTTTCATAACAGACCAGCAGAAGACGTGTGTCTTTTGTATGAATGATAAATCATTAAGTCCAGCTTGGATTGTCTAAAAAGCGCATCGGACTAAATTGATTGGACTGCTTTACATATTCATTTGTTTATTTTTTTATTTTTTTTATATATGCAGTTTAGAATTTGATAGAACCTCAAAACAAGATTGTATTATTAACTTAATGTTTTGGAGGCTGAGATCCTTACAATAACACAAATACTGGAAATCCAAAAATTTAAGACTTAACCTCTCAAGCGAAGGAAGCTTGTGATGGAGGACTAACCCACCCAGAAAAATGAAAAGCCAAAATGACCAAGACCTGGCCACCCAGAATCTCAATACTTTCCTAATTTATTAAATCATAATATGCATACATACCCCCACTACTCTCCTATCACTACTTTTATCCCCTCATCATTTTGTTCTGCATCTTTTTTCATTTACTCCACTTCTCCAATATTTTCTTGCCACATGTCCTGCTTGATAACCAACTCATCTCCTTTCTCATGACTTGGCCCGTTCCCCACTTCTACCACTTTTTTCTTCTACCATTTCTTCATTTAAAATCCAGTTTTGAAAAAATAACAGCTTCCCCCAATTCATCTGTGAATGGAATAGGGTATTTTTGTTACTTGATTTCGTGCCCGGTAATCTAAACAGGATCTCTAGCTGCCAACTTTCTTCTTTACCAAGATTAATGGGCTTGAATATGGGCTATTGCTTGGCCAAATCAGTCTTGAAGATATCATCTTGTTTCACAGATTTTTCAACCTGTTCCTTCTGATATTGCGGATATCTATAAGGCCTTATATTTGGAATTTGAGCCCCCTCTTTCAAACTACTTCGATGATCACAAGAATTTGCTTGTGGAAGTTTGTTGGGTTCTCTGAACTGGTCCTTTAATTTTGAATGTCCAACACTTTTCCACATAAACTCTATGCATATATATATATATATATATATATATATATATATATATATATTCAACATATTTTCGTTCCTCATCTTTCTTCCATGCTTTTCCTAATTTTTTACAAGACACCCTAGTGCAAGACAACTTTGACTGTTTATATATTATAATAGAGACTCATCGATAGCGAAATCTACTCGCTCTGATTTTCTCATTGGCAGCTACCACTTTCACTTTAGTCTCTAAAGTGCTTTCTTTGCTATAGGGGTTCCAAATCATTGTTAATTACATGCCTTTTGATTTTAGTGTTTTATATTCGAAATTTATTTATAAGTTTGCTGTTCTGTTGTTCGTTTATTAGGAGATGACTCTGGAAGAATATGAGAAACTTCAGGAAGAGAAAAGGAAGGCCCTGCAAGCACCCAAGACTGAAGCGAGAAAGGTAGACACTAAAGAGTTTGAATCCATGCAGCCTTTATCAAGCAAGAAAGACAATCACGACATCTTCATTAAATTGGTAAGAACTTGTTGTCCCCCTTTTTCCCTTCTAATTATTAGTTGTCCATATTATATTGGTGATACCTACTAATTGGAAATACTTACTAATATCTTGACTCTTTTATCTTCTTTCAAGGGTTCTGATAAAGATAAGCGCAAAGAGGCTGAGAAGGAAGAGAAATCCAAGAAGGTGTGATTTTGTTGATTTTGCTTGTCTTTGTTACTTTGTGTTTGTAGCTCCATTATTGCCATTTTCTTCTGCTTAATTGTCAAATATTACTCAATTAATGCTTTATTTTGATAGATTAGTTGCTTCTAGATAACTTGTTTTTAACATTTTTGGCAAGCCTAGGCTTCTTGACATGGCTAGCTGTTCTGTCTTTGTGCCTTGTTGATTTCCAGGATTCTAATTGCTTTTCTTGTGATTGTTGTGACTTGTGGCAGTATAGTCATTAGCGGTAGGTTGTGACAGTTAAGAGGTTCTTATGATAATTATCCAACTATATATTTCTATTGCTTATCTTTCTAAATTCAACTACGAGTTCTTTTTTATACAAGCACATCATTTTCTATAAGTTTGATTGTTTTCTGGATGATTTACTATTATAGTATTTCTAGTTTTCTGTTCTAAATGTGTTCTCTCTATTCTTTAATAATCACTTCTCGCTGGAGTTAGTTCTCACTTATCGTTCAGTTGAACTTGTTGATAATAATTTCTCTGGCACATTTTATGCCTTACATATTAAACACCTGCACTGACTTAAACAAAGTAGTCAACTCAAGTCACGCAAGACACTGAAAGCACGTAATTTGAAAATTTCTATAATGATTTAAAGATGTTTCACAATGATAAAAATATGAAATTGTGTTGACATCATTAGTTGACAATTTTTAACCAATCATATACAATATTAAAATTAGTTTCTTTTAAAGTTTGTTATGGTAAATGAACTCGGCATTGAAGTTTGGTTTTTCTCTCTGCACATACAGAAAATTTCTTGCATTTACAGAATGTTCTAATGCTTCTTTGTCGCCTACCTAATTTCTTCAATTGATTACCAACGTTAAGCTTTGTTGGGAAACTTTCAGATATTCTGTTTCCTTCTATATGCCTCGGGTCCTTTGTTTACTCTTCTTGGTTTTGCCCACAACTTCTGTCATTTGTGTTGTATTTGTTTTTAAGATTGGCTTTTTACTGGCAATATATTTGCATTTTCTAGTGTACCCTTTTTATAAGGTTTTTCAGCAATATATTGTTCACGTCACGATCTCGGGTTGCTTTCAATTTTCTTTGCTTTTACTGACTATTTTGCTTCATTCTTTTGATTTGATATTCTTAGTCTGTCAGCATCAACGAGTTTCTGAAGCCTGCTGAAGGGGAAACCTACTATAACCCAGGTGGGCGCGGTAGGGGACGTGGCCGCGGTGTTTCAAGGGGAGGTTACCGTGGAAGTGCCACCAGCAATGCACCAGCTCCATCCATTGAAGATCCTGGGCATTTCCCAACCTTGGGTGCTAAGTGAGATTTTCCAGAACCCTTATGACGTATCCCTATCCTATTTTCAATTTTGGGTTCACTGATTTGAACTTAAGCAGGAAAAGAACCATATGGTAAATTGGATTTCCTGAATTAGAACGGTTTTTTAATTTCATGGCTTAAAATGTAAATTTAGGTTCTTCATATGGTTATTTGTCCCTTGTAGCCTTTTCCCTTAGTACGCTGCTTTTACTGAGCGTTTGACATTTTGGGGGTATATGGTGGCGCGGGTAAGACATAAATGTTGTTGAGTTCCCTTTGCTTAATAGATTTGCATCTCAGTTTTGCTTGAAATTTTGCCTTATTTTTTCCTATATTCTAGTCAATAATAAGTTTAAACCGGGTCGAAGGTAATTCTTTATCCCTTTTTTTGTATTTGGGTCTTGTCTCACTTAATAAAATGGACCTAATAGTTTGTGGAGACTGTGGCATTTTCTAAAAGCGATTGCTTGCTTTGCGCTAGGGAAATGTTAGAAGAGCCCATGGCTTCAGTTTTATTGCAATGTTTAAGCCTTTTTTTTTAATTGCCACGTCACATGAACTTAGATGATTTTTTTCCCATTATTTTTTGAGGGATTAGATTTTCTCACGTGGAAAAGTGGTCATGTGGTCATGTTTTTTGATCAGAACAACTCATTTAAAAATTATACATTTTTCACTTTTTTATTTTATCATCAATGATTGATTGTGATTAAATAATATAATCACATGACTATTTTTCAACATGAGAGGATTCACTTTCATTTTTTTTAACACATTTTCTGTTTTAAAGAGCTAGAGTTGATAGTCATTAATGAAATATCTACTTTTTTTTTTATGTATGATGAAAATGGACCTCCAAATTAAGCCGTATTTCACAGCTTATGCACATTTGTCTTGAGAGTTGCTCTGGTCGCGTGGTCTGGAAGATCAAAACGAAATTGAAATATGTAGAAACCGTACGTGTAGTACATATAAACATGGTATTTACTTAGTGTAAAAATTTGGGACATCAGTTTATAAGTAGTGGAAAGGGTGTAATCAACTTAACAGTATTTATTCCTTCATTTCTTTATGCTTAATATCACAAATGGTTCTCATTTTTTAAATTTAAATAAAGGGATTTATATTTTTCATACGATATAATTTTATTTTTTATACATATAAAAGTATACGGGGTTTATATGAGATCATGTGATGAGAAGAAAGAAAAAGACATTATAGTTTTACATATTTTTATGTGTAAGATAAAATTATTTCGTAAAATATGAAAAACACTAATCTTTTGAATAAAATACCTGAAAATATGTTCCCTTACAATCGCAAAGGGTTTGTCCTTTTAACTTCAAGTTCGAATCTTTTAAGATTTGTCCTTCATTTAAGGTTTTCCTTAGCAACAAGGGCTCAGATTCAAATTGGACATACAGACTATATCAATATAGATTCTGATATCGGAAACTATTGATTAGTATAGTATATGCATGCAAGCTGTATTGGCGGGGTCGTATCAAATTATTTATGATAATAAAGCGCTCTTAGTTTAGTTCGGTAGAGCTGATTTGTCACACAACAATTACATTTTTTTATTTTTTTTTATTTTTTTGTAATAACAATTACATTTTTAGGATATGGAAATTTAATAATTGAAAATGTATATAAAATCTTATTTGATCAATGGATTAACTACTTTCTCGGTTGATCTCCAGGAAACATTGGATCAAATGTTACTATTTTGGTTCAAATGGTTGCATGATTCAAATCAAATCCGCTTACCCTCAAGTCTTTAACTAATAGAGGTAAGCAAGATTAATTTCAGTGACGAACTTTTACTTGCATGTCACTGGTTAGTTAGAGAGCACTTTGGTAGGTTTTTTATTTTTTATTTTTAAATACATAGGAAAGATAGTTTCAACAACAAATTCATATTTTTATAATTATAATTTTACCATTTCCTTCACTGACATCTTAGCAACAAATATAATATAAAACTAAAGGGAAGAATATGTTTACAATTTTTTTTTACAAATTTTTGCAAATTACACTATGTACTCTTGAAAATACATAGTGTAATTTAGCGTACTTCCGAAAATACATAGTGTAATTTGTAAACAAAAAATTTATAAATATAACCCTTCCCTAAAACTACTGTGATATTTTAATAATTATAAAAGAAAATTAATCATTGATCTGAAAATGAAAATGAAAACGAAAACACATCATATGCCACCTTAAGTTTATATTTTTCCTTTTCACTCTCTTTTATGGATGATATACAGTAAGTATTATTTATTCAAATTTATTTCATGCATAACGTACAGTTTATTTATTTTTTGGGTACAGCTTATAATTTTAATACGATTATATGATTTACATCTGATTGTAACAAAAAGAATCGAGACCATTTAAAGTGTGTATGACATAAAATACCGAGACATGAATTCGTTCATAAATTAATTTTTTTTGCCTGAAAATTTATAAAATAGAAAATGATTTGGTTTCGAAAACTTGTATATTTTAGTTTTGTATAAATAAAAATCTACTCAAATTTCGATACTTGCTTTATTGGTTTAACTAGATAGACTGACAAAACTCATTCATGGTAAGGATGTTATCCTTCCTTAAAGGGAGTGAATTTTTGGTATGTACCCCTTCCTTTTAAATTTTGGCACTTGGATTTTTTTTTTTTTTTTTTCATCTCACTTTCATATTCTCTTTCCATTTTTGATTGGTTCTCCCCACTGAAAAAAAATGATACCACGATTGTACCTTAAAAATTTCACCTTAAAGGAGATGATTACCCATCATTGTAGAATTCATTCAAAACTTAAACATTATCCTCCACTTGAAATAAATAAATAAAAAAGGAATAAAATCCAGATTAAATACTCCTGTCTTTTGATATATCTTAATTAACAATGTTATTGTCACATATAATTATTTTATACTTTGATATTACATTTTTGTTTTATAAAAAAAAATTAAGGGAGAAATTTACTTTTTTGTTTCTTTCTCTTTTTTCTTTTTCCCCCCCTCTAAAACTCAAAGTATTGAACCTGAGTATATAAAATTAAAAAATAAAAGGAACATCATTATTCCATAACTCGAGCAATCCAACCAACTCGATTAGAGATTCAAAATAAATATATTATGTTTGAATCTTTCAACCCATTATTGTCCCATATGTATAAACAGGGTGTTTCTTTCACATTAATTCTCCAAGTTTACTGTCTGACGATTTCATTTTTTCCCAATTTTCCATAATTTTTTCTCTTCCAGCCACTCCAATCTTCCTTTTCACCTATGAACCTTTTTTGGAACAGTGACCAAAATGTCACTCTTTTCCAATTTTTTTTTCTAAATGTCACGCTAACAGTGTTAATTTTTAATATGCCACGTGGGTAAGTTGGCTACTCCAGGTAACGAACTTGGTTGCAATTAATGCACCCGCACGTTTCCACCTGCCACGCAGACATGCAACGAAGTTCGCTGCCCACCCTAGCGAACTTTATTGCATGTCTGTCATATGTCATCCTAGCCGTTACACGTAATTCGCTAGAGTGGGCAGCAAATTTTATTGCATGTCTGCCACGTGGCGTGACAGGTGAAAACATGCAGGTGCATTAATTGCAACTAAGTTCGCTACCTGGAGTAGCGAACTTGGTGTCCACCAGAAACATGACACGTCGGCAAACTGAGCTCGCTATAGTGACCAGCGAACTTGTCCACGTGACATATTGAAAATTAGCACTGTTGGTGTGAAATTTAAGAAAAAAAGTTAGGGAACAATGACATTTTGATCAGTGTTCCACCTTTCTAAATGGCTAAAGGGTACAATTCTCTTTTATGGGAGGCAAATAATATATGAATAAAGACACTAAAAAACTAAGACAGTGCAAGCATAGATTGATGAAATAATCTGGTTTGACGAGATGCTGTGTGTGTATCTGCGAGCTAGAATGATTACTATGAGAAAGTGATATAAAACCAATCCGATTCACTTCTATTGTGTTTATACCTGGGATATAGTTTATAAATCATTCAGATCTTATTTTTCTTTAATGAATTTTAAATATAATAAGTAATTTATAAAATAAGATAAATAAATTCTAGTTTTAAATTATTTGAAAACTAACAAGAAAGTAACTTTCTTTCTTTTTGACGGCAAATAAAGTTTTAAAGATGTGAATCTCATCTCTTTGTGAGAGTGAAAGGATGTAAGATGTGTCATTTAAAATGACACACCTTTTTCCCATAGACCAATAAATCTCATTTTATATGTATCAGAAACTGATGCTGCACGCGTAGTATTTGCATTTATTTTCAATGTGTTAGTCATTTGTGAGTGCTCAACGTTTTGTTGTGTTTTGTTATTATATGGCTCAGTAAACATGGATTTACAGTTGGCTCATGAACACATGAACTTAATCAACATTTAATACAAGGAACAAGATAAATGCAGAGTTAAATATATACCAGGGGCTTGAATATGCAGTTCCAAGACAGCGCATTTTCGTAGAAATCAAATTAAAAAATAAATAATAATAATAGTAGTCTCCGACTATGAATGGAAACAGATATGAGCAGGAAAATAGATTTAGCATCAATGAGTATTATAATTTGAACAAGTCATATCATTTAGGTATATTTAAAGAATGGGATCATCTAGGTCAGTTGCAAACCCCCAGACAAATTCTGACATTGGTCCACTATTTAGTGAAACAAAAAATCTTACATGCAATGGGTGAGCAGCAGACCAAATGAAATGGATCTGAATAACTTCTGGTTAGGAAGAGCAGCACCCACCCTTCTGTGCAACTGGCTGTCCTCTGATCTGCACTGTTGGAGGCCTTGCATTATTTGCAGGTTGGCTTGCCATTCTACATTCAAGAGAAAGTCACACATTAGAAGGAACTGGTGATAGAAGAGAAAAGAAAAAGTCCATGATCTACTCATAACTAGTTATAGTTAAACAAAATTAAAACCATCCTTAGGGAACAAATAGAGGAAGTATAAAGCAGAAAAACTATATATACAAATTATAATTTGTTGTGTTTTATTCATCTAATTATATCTTCTTTTTCACATGCAATTTTTAAGAAAACAAAAAAATCATCAAATTTCCATGACTTCACCATTTAATTACATGTTTGATCAACGTTGTCATCACGTATCTGAATGTGGATAATTATATTCTTTCATGCCTCTCCGGTTGCCAAATTTAGGATTGGGACTGGCCCCTCACTTGGGGGTTTCCTTGGGTAGTAAATGTCTAGGGTACTTCTTACTCCTTGGGTGGCCAGATTATTCTAGTTCGAACTAGTCTTTCGACTCTTTCAAGTATTCCTCCCACTTAATTATTTTTTGCCATTTTAGTATTATGAAGGAAGTGGCTAAAAGGAAATAGAAAATTATGAGATATATTTTTTATATCAGGGTTGGGTGATTTAAAAAAAGATAATCTTGCTAGCTGTGAGTTGTGCTGCAGACGAAGAAAGGAAGGCCGACTAGATCTTGGAAATTTGGTTACCAAAACATTTCCTTCATCGACAAGTGGCTATCGCATTTTGCCTTAATTAGTCAACTTCCTTATGGCATAAGTTATTCAGAGTAAGTATGGTTTAGATTGGAATGGGCGGGAGACCAACCCAGTGACAAAAGCCACCCATGCTAGCCTCCAAAAGTTCATTTCTTTGGGATATCATACGTTTAGACCATTGTTTACTCTCTGGTTAATACCTTCCATTGACTATACAACTGTTCTAACTTAGGTAACTCACCAATAATCAATTTCTCTTTTCAGTGCTCATTTAAATTGGGATTTTCTCCTTACCAAAAACTTGTGATAGAGACTGGAGAACTACAATGCCTTTGCCTTGATTAGAACCTATTCACTTTCAGCAAATTCTGACGTGTTTAGAATGAGGAATCGGCAGCATCACATCTACATTTATTCTAAATAATATTTGCTATGTTTGACAGATCCAATTTCACAAATCAACAGACATAAAAACACAATCTAGTAACCTACATCTGTGCTTGTATACTTCAAAAAAGATAGTACAGATCAAAATTTATAATTCATTCACAATAGACTTTACCAAGCTATGGAAATTGACAACATCAAATAGACATGAGCTAAAGAATATTGATGCAAACTATAGTATTACTATAATTATTCTTTTTGTAAGTTGGCAACTAATTTTACTTGCTTCTAGGGCCAAGCTCCATTTAACTTTTGCAATTATATTGAATAGCTACTGTTAAGCTATAAACGGAATTAGGTACCTAGTCTTGATGGAAGCAGCCATTGCCATAAAAGCCTGCTCGACATTTGTAGCATCTTTTGCACTTGTTTCCATAAAAGGTATGCCTATTTCATCAGCGAATGCCTGTTAAAGAACAACAAAACAAAAAAGTTAAGGTAAGGGTAGCTGAAATAGGAACATAAGAGCAATAACTCTTCAACAGCACAAAGCATGAATACATGCTTGAAACTGTTTCCTTAGAATAAAAACCAAAAATTCAAGGGATGTATAACAAAGCTATACTTTAGCTGTATCATATGACACAGCTCTATTTGCTGTCAGATCACACTTGTTGCCAACCAAAAGTTTGTTAACATTGTCACTGGCATAGCGGTCGATTTCACTGAGCCACTGCTTCACATTATTGAAGCTCTCTTCATCTGTCACATCATAAACAATCTACCAGAGAAATCAGTCAGTAAAACATGCAAAGAGATACCCACATAGGAAAATGCGAGAAATCTATATTTAAAAGCTTATGCCAAGAAAATCGTCACCTACAATGATACCATGTGCCCCACGATAGTAGCTACTAGTGATTGTCCTAAATCGTTCTTGTCCAGCTGTGTCCCACTACATATGAAATCAAATCACAAATCAAGGTAAGAAACAATTCTCAATAAAACAAAGAATTTTGGTGACCCACGTGGTCTAGAAACATGACAGCCTCAAAGAGGATGTTCTTAAAAATAAAAGTGGAAATGATAAAAAAACAATTGAAAGCAAAATATATGTCCCACAAAAAGATTAAAATAAGAAGATCAAGCTCACTGAAGACGTGAGATATACATACAATCTGGAGTTTAATGGTCTTGCTATCCTGCTCAACTGTACGAATTTTCTACACAAAATAACATGAAATGATGAGTTTAGACATTGATTTAATCAGTTCAAGCTAAAAATTTGCAAAGTTGTACTCACAAAATCAACTCCAATGGTGCTTATGTAGCTTTCGATGTAAGAATCGTCCTGTAGAATAATATAGAAATTATCATAAAGTTAATCCAAATTAATGCATTAAGCTGCAATGTATCATCTTCAAGAATCAAGATCATCCAACATGCAGAGTGAAGGCATTTGGGTTAGACCCTTACATAGTGACGTAACCATTATAAGATCTAAAAAATAGACTACATCATAAATACAAGTATTTAAGGACACTAGCCATAGGCTTCTTTGGATACAAATAGCTTCCAGGTTTAAATTGCATACTATAATTTTTTAATGAAATAAAACAGGCAAATAATTCCATTTTGCTACCCTAATTTCTTAATCATACATTCTAAAAAATGTCCAATTTACTTGTTAAAATCAACACCACAGCTCACAACGGGAGACAAAATCTCATCAATGTCACTTTCAGCATAATCAGAAGATTTTTTTTTTTCAAATTTCATAAAATTCCAAGAACATTGATGGTACTGTATTGGACATAAAGAAGCCTAGCAAGAAATTAGATGAGAGCATGACCATGGTCCAGCTGACAGATTTGGGTACCAAACGGTCAAGTAATAATGCTCTGAAAGCAATGACAATCACAGATTATGTTTCTTCTGGAATTTTTTTAACAGAATGTTCTGTTTGATATCATATTGGAGAGGCTGCTAAGTCACTTCCTAATGTATGAAGAAATCAAAGTGACTTGAGTTTGACAAGGGGAGTGGAACCTCCAAATTCCAAAGGACTCACATTTTGTTATCTATAAGACAAAGGAGCAAGGGCATTGCTACATGATTGCAAGAAAATTTATGGGTGTTAAGTGGTCTGTAAATTAGCTGTCAACAGGTTAATAATTAGCATGTAAATAACCAATTAACTGAGCTCTTGACTAGTAACATTTTGTTTCCATTGGTTCACATGTTTGATCTTTGATCAGATGTCTTCTTACAAAGTGCTAATGACAATTTGGAAATATCAGTTGGGTGATACTGAAGAAAAGTTAGATAGATGTGTGTGCCTTGGGCAATGAAGCAGCATATGTAGTTTAGGAGGGATATTTTGTTTATGCACAATTTCAACTATATATAATATGATTTTGGGAATATTTAATAATTACTATGGAGAAAAACAAAAAAATAAAGGTCTTAAATATTAAACTTTTACAGACTAAACAAGCAGCGAGAGGGACTCGGAAGTTATGTTCCCTTCTTTTTGACACATGCAATAATTATATGGAAGACCAGTTCCCCAGCCAAGGTATCTAAGTCTTTAGCATACTGTTGTAACTAAATGGCACTTAGAAGAAAGAAAAAATCACAACAAAGAAAAGCATTTTAGTTTACACATAATCTTAAGAATCAAGTTAACCTAAAATCAAATTAAATATCTAGAAAACGTGTATTATGTTTGTATTTTCCTAAATATTGTAGCATGTATTAGAAAAAAAAATTGATAAATCTGAAAGTCTGTAACCATTCTATGTGTGGGGAAAGCATACATTATTACACATGTAAGAGAGGGAACATGATCCGAAGAGAAAAGGCTAGTTCACCAATTCATTATTAGATTTTTTTGGTTTTTTGGAACTCCAACACAAATAAAACCTCAAATAAAGAACCAAACATGTAGCTATTGTTTATTAAGATGTTTCTGTTACCAATTACCTTGTTTAACCAGTGCATTATTGCACTTAAAGGGTTTTATTGTTCTTTTGGATAAATGAAGTAACTCTCTAAAAGAGTGGAAAAACACAGTGAACTGCAATAAAAAACTACAAGTTACAACGCTCCATTATAGGAAATGAAACACAATAGTAGTCACAATAATAACTAGCATAAAAAGCAGCAGAAAGCTTACAGCAAATCTCAGAAGAAGACATGATTTGCCAACACCAGAGTCTCCAATAAGAAGGAGCTTGAACAGATAATCACTGCAAAGGATAACCGCAGCACATTAGCTTTATCACTTAAAATAGATAGCAAACCAGCCTAAAAAATGCACTTTAAAGACTAACCACAACCATTTCTTATACACACATATTAAGATAACAGTGAAAATTGAAAATCAATTGTTTAAGTCTTGATTCTTTAACATTTAGAAACAATGTAACATAAGCAATCACTACCTTTCTTCTTATTGATTGACCTACATGGAAGAGCCCAAGGCCACATAAGCCCAAAATCCAAATACCATACATTCAAGTTTCCCCTGATTTCCCAGGTTTAGCATAGTTTGATGATTCCCCTAATTAACTTCCATTCAAATCATTCAAGCTACGAATCAGATTATTATACAATATGTGCAGTTTATTTTTTCAATCGAGTTAGACATTATGATTAAAGGGGAAAATGGGACACACAAACTCAAATGCCTCTTTAGAATCAACAAGGAACTAGATCAGGGTAACTCTGCAACTTAGAAATCAATAATAAAAACTAACATAAAAAAAACAGCAATCGCTGTAGAATCCGTGATTGAAAAACAATAGTTTAAAATCCCAAGAAAATAAAAAAATCACAGGGCCAAAATTTCAGAAAACAAATCAATCTAGGGTTACACACCAACAAGATTTGATGCTAACAGAACCTAACTCATATGCACCAATTTACCTGCAACCTCACCCACCCTTTTGACAGAAAACATATAAAAAATCGAAAAAGGAACGAATTCCCTGAAAATCAAACACGATTCAAGGGAAAGGGAGAACGAAGGGGAATAGATATAGAGGAACCTACTATTCGGTATTCATTTCCAGTATAGCGAATCGGGACCGGGGATTCGCCGGAGCTCGGTGGGTATCGGTGGCGCTTCACCTAGGAATCTCAGAAGAATCACACGAAGGAATCGAAAGACAACCTCGTTCGCTTCGTTTGTTGCTTCTTTTGAATGAAAATCGCGTGGAAACGTGATAAATACGGTGACGTATTTGTAATGGTAATAGTCCTAACTCCTACGGGCTACGGTAGATCTAATTTTTTTGGATACCATATCTAATTTTAATTGACCAAAAACAAAAGAACTTAACTATGCGCACATGCCGTGTAGTTGTATAGAATGCTTTTTGGATTTATTAAGCATAAAGAATTAAATATTTTAAAATTTAAGAACTATTAATAACAAAAGAGCTTAGATGTCATTTTTTTTTATGTATTACTATTATATTACCATGTGTCTGCACACTTAAATAAAATCTTAATAAGAAAAACAAAATATTTTGGTTCTTGAAGTATTATATTTTTTCTCTCTAAAATATCGTTTGTGTATTTTTCAATTAAATTGTAATAAAATGTATTTAAATACTACCTAGTTTTGCATTCTGCTATTACTAATTTTTTATCTTAATAAAAAACAAAATTGTTTGAAGTTTTAATTTTATTTCATGATTATTTATTCGTTAATTCTTCTTCGTTTGTTATTATTATTTATAGTTAAACAATAATATTCTCTAATTATAACAGTTGACTTTAAAACAGAATAATAAACTTTACCATGCGGTTGCTACGTGATTTTTATAACTTAACCCTGTTCTTGAAAGTATACGTGAGAGAGGTCGTATATTGCAAGCCTGGAAAGTGGAAACGTTAGAATGTGCCAATCCTATTTAATATTCCCATAGACAAAATGCATGTAACGCTCTCCCTATATATCACGTTCTAGCTCCCATAAACAATGACCCTTGCTTAGTGAGATTGAAACAAAGCCACGAGATATATGGGCTCTAATCATACAAAACTTAAGCTTAATTAGCCACCTAAGCCCAAGGGAGTCTTCAAATACACCATCCTACTTTTGCTTCCTTTTATGTTGGTTTTTGGCTTTTTGCTAACTTGCATAACTAAAGTCTCATTGTTTTGAGTTGAAAAGAAAGACAAAACTTAACCGAATGATGGTAGCTTATTGGTGATAAAGGAGTTAAGTAAGTGGAAAGGAAAATGTGGTAATTTGGTCCCACAAATCATATTTAAAAAGAGTTTAAATATATTCATCTCTAATCTGACTCGCACTTCGAATAAGTTTCATAGCGGGCTTAAAGAGTCAAAGTTTATGTAGATATTGGAGGGAGCAACTCGCCTCAAAAAGATAATTAGAGTTATTAACTTAAAAAAATAAAATAATAAAAGACAAAATTTACGTAATTTTGCTATTTTGGTTACACAATCAAAAGCTTTTTTTAAGTACTATTAAGGGGTGTTTGGTAGAGGAATTTTTTTTTATCCAGGAATCTCAATTTTTAAAAATATGATGAAAACATTCAGTTTACGATAATATCCGAAAATTAAAAATTTAGAAAAATTTAATTTACCAAAAATCTTACAAAATACCTTGTACCAAACGCCTCCTTATTAAAATATTGAAAGTTGGCCTACGAGAAATGGCCTGGCCGAAGGAATTGGGCTTCCTTTCTTATTTTTCTTTTAAATTTACCAATGCCTTTTTTTTTTTTTAATTTTCTTCTGTTTTTAATATTTCATATGGAATTAGATATTTGTAACTAGTATACATATTTAGGGCATAAACAAATCTCTCTTAAAATAATCTTTGAAAATTTCTAAATTTTTTAAGCGAAACTAAAGTGCTTAAATTTGTAGAATGTGCTAGCTAAGCTGATAAAGTTCTCTACGGTTGATTGCATGGATTTAACATTAAATTAAAGTCTATTTGGATTCTTTCTTTTTTAAGTTAGAAGCTACTTATAAGTTAAAGTTAAAAAAAAGCTAAAAACTATTTGATAATCGCATAAAAATTTTAGCTTAAAAGTTACTTACGAGCACATATTTCAAGAAAATTATTTCTCTCTTTATCTTTATAGCTCTTTATTTTTTTAAAAATCACACAATTCAAAAAAGCTTCTCCTAGGAGCTTTTAGCTTTTTTCTTTATTATAAAAAAAGAACTTTTCATTATAAGAGCTTTTCTCAAAACCTGTTTAGCATAACTTATATTTATAAGTAGCTTTTAGCTTAAAAAAAAGAAGATCCAAACCGACATCAAATATTGTTTTCACCCATCCTATTACCCAGAGGGCGCAAATGAATTTTTTTTTTTTTTACCGTTTAGTATTTCGGTTATTAGAGTTATGGAAATAATATCATATAGTTGAAATAGAGTTGATTTTTTTTAAAATAAAGTGGAATAGTTGATAATAAAAAATAGAAACTGACAGATAATATCTAACCCCAACTAATAAGGAAAAAATTAATCACGGATAGGAGTAAAGAAATCTTTTCATTGTTATCAAAAAAAAAAAAAAAAATCTTTTCACTAAGTAGGATAAAATATAATCTCTCCCCTAAATGCAAAGAGAGAATAATAATATTTCTTTATATATGGGAAACAGGAGAAAAATTAATAACCACATATAAATTTTTCTGTGTTTAAGAAATAACTTAGGGAGGATGAAATGATAAAACTGATGGAGGAGGCATGTATCTTCTAACAGTTCTTTGCGTAGTTACACCGAAAACAAGAGACGCGGTTCCCCTGAAAAATATGATTTATTTTATTTATTTATTTATTTTATGCGTACAATAAGAGAGTTTTTTTTTTTTTTTTTTGGGAAAACTCAATAAGAGAGTTTCTTCTCCTTTTTTTCCCGGAAGTCTTGCATATGCATAGTGAATTCTTCGGATGGAAAAATATTAGTCAAGTTTGTGCATTAGTACTAGTAATCAAGTATATATATATCAAGTGAATTCGAAAATTGCATTTACATTAAGACATCAAACCTAACCCATCAAATTAACATATAAGTATGTTCCAAGTATGTTTACATTTTAAGTTTAATTCCTCCCTTAAGCTTTGCTTTCTTTCACGAGGACTTATATTCATAATGTCTCTGATTGATATTCTTCACGATCTTCCGAAACATTTGGCCTCTGCTATGATCATATAAAAGAGACATCATTTAAACAAGTTTAAAAGTCCAAAATCATACATGGACAAAAATTGCAACTTTTAATATGAAATCTATTGCTGTGATGTACCCCTCTCCAACTTCGCTATATGTGCTTCAGAAATAGTAGTTCTGGGTGCTAGAACCATGAGGCTGAAACAAAAATAATTAAAACAAAGAAAAAAATGTTTGTTCTTTTAAATGACATAACTTATGTCATTTCACTCTCACAAAGAGATGTGATCCACACCTTTATATTTTTTTTGTTTATTCTCTTTCCTCTTTTATTTATCTCTTTTTTCTTATTTAACATGACACAAATTTACATCCTTTAAAATGATACACATTTTTCCCTAAAATAAATTTACAGAACTTAGTGTTTGTATTATAGTTGGATACGCTGAATCTCTATACCATCATGCGTTCTTTTGTAAAACGTTAATTCAATTGGAAAACTTAAGCGGTTACGGAAAGATCACAATGTTCTTCGGATATATTAGAAAAATGACAAGTTTAATGTGTTTCTCAAGTTGTACGAGATAAATTTATCTCTTACACATACGTAAAAATGTACGGGCCAATGTGCGTTCATAAGAAGAGAAAGGGCCAATGTGGGTTCATAAGAAGAGAAAGAGGAAAAAAATATAGATCTTATGTTAGGAGAAGATCACCTTTGATCTTATCCTTTAGCAACTAAGTCCTAGTTTTTAGCAAGAATAGTTTGTTATTATTCCATGTATAGTTTGTTGAACAGTATACTTTATTCTAGTTGATCCTCCTTGATTCTGTATAACCGACTTGTGTATATATTGGCTATCAGCCATTTCATTAAATATAACAACATATTCAAATCCTCTTAGTTTTCTATATGGTATCAGTTTGAAGGTATCGATCCACTTTCCCAATGGCTGATTCTGATTCAGATTCTTCCGCTGTCAATATCAATGCTAATGACAAGCGTCCCAACCCATTCAATTTTTCTGCATCACAAACAGCAGCTGCAACACCTATAGTGTCCAACCAAAACTCGATTCCCAACCTGAGTCCTGAGCTTCTACAGCAAATTGCCAACATGGTTGTTTCCTCCACTACACCGTCTGCTAACACTACATCCCTTTCTGGTAAGCACACTCTGCCTTCTACCTGGTTGGTGGATAGTGGCGCTTCTCAACACATGACAGGGAACCTCCATTTGATCTCCAATGTTACATCTATTCCACCCACTACAATAGGTTTACCTGATGGTGATCAACTTGTTTCCAATCACAGTGGCAGTCTCAAGTTGACATCTCATATTTCTCTTCAGAATGTGTTATATGTTCCCAAATTACAATGCAACCTCATATCAGTTGCTCAATTACTTGCTGATACAAATTGCATCATTTCTTTTACTCACAATGGCTGTGAATTGCAGGACCCCATAACGAGGATCAAGACTGGACTGGGTAGATTGCAAGCTGGTGTTTATGTGCATGACTCATCCAACAACAAATCCATCTCTACTGCATGTGCGGCTCACACTCAACAGAATGCAGATGTTTGGCACCGTCGATTGGGTCACCCTTCATTTCAGTTTTTAAGCTTTCTTCCTTTTGTTACAGTGAATAAAAATAGGGGTCATTCTCCTTCAGTTTGTGACATTTGCCTACGCGCACAACAAACTCGTACTGTATTCCCTATTAGCATTAATAAAACTACTGCATGCTTTGATCTTATTCACTGCGATATCTGGGGTCCATATCAAACTACCTCTCTAACCGGTGCAAGATATTTTTTAACAATTGTGGATGATTATAGCAGAAACGTCTGGGTTTATTTAATGACCACCAAGTCTGAAATGTTCCAATACTTAACTCGATTTCTTCTCATGGTACGTAATCAGTTTAATACCATGGTCAAAATAATACGCTCCGATAATGGATCAGAATTTTGTGCTCATAATCTCCGCAAGGTTTATTCCGATATGGGAATTATACATCAAACATCATGTGTAGACACACCACAGCAGAATGGTCGTGTTGAACGGAAACATAGACATATTTTGAATGTTGCAAGAG